TTGCATGTGTTTACAATCCAAGCCGTAAATACATTGTATGTTGGTTGTTGTTGCTTTCATTGTTGTTGCAGAAGAAGGTTGGTCAAACAGGCTCTTTTAACAAACACTTGATAAGTGAACTTATTATACAACTTGACCTCATGTTTATGTTTGAATGGTGTAAATTCAAACTGCCGTGTTCTTGTTTTCTGGTTACCATGACAGCTACATTTTCACAGAAGGAGCCTCAGCTAGGTAACAAATGTCCTTAAGTGGCTTTAATCTTGTTATTCTTTATTATTACATATTTAATACATTTGATTTTGACTCGCCTAAGTTGCACTAGGTGAAAGTCTCACTGATCTCTGTGATTTCTATGATTTCTTCTTATGAATATTTGATTATTGAACTGATTTACATGTTCTTTTGATTGTTTTTGTATGTTGCTGTATCCATTAAAATACTGTCAGAGCAGAAATAACAGAATATGTTTTTGTTATAAAGAAATTGTCTTATAATCATGCTATTAGTAGATGTTTTGTTTTAGTGAAGCCTTTTATATACTTAGAAGCTGGTCTTTTTTTGTGTTTGTGTTTTAACCCATTTTGAATAAAGGTATTTTAGATTAGATTTAGGTTTAGATTTAAGCAGAAACTGTGCATATATTTTCTGTTTAGTGTATCCTTGACAGGCATTGAAACCCTCATAAGCTTTGGTTTAGACGTCGTCATGAACAGTGTGATGGTCGGGGACCAGAGGTTGACCCACCATGGTCAGCACTGTCAAAGTAAGTCAAAGAGCGGCAAACTGAGGACTCTGCATCAGAGCACCTTGGACCTGAGTGACACAGCACCCTGCTACACCACCACCCACAGCCAGGTCAGCACCCTGATGATACCTGACAGATTCATACCTTTTACAGAAGTCTCTTCATCATGTTGTGTCTTTGTGTTGGTCAGAGTTATTCTGGAGAGTCTGCTGGTGGACGTCCTCTCATCTTCCACCTGAGAGATCCCAGCTTCCCCTCCCAGCACCGGAACCGGCTGGACCTCAGCACAGCGCTACAGGGGCCGCTGCAGGGGCCGCTGCAGGGGCCGCTGCAGTCACACTCTGCAGACGTGCATGGGCCCAAACACATAACTCCGGTAACTGCAGCGAAAGTAAAACTTCAAACACACTTTCTGTTGTCTATATTGCATTATAATCTGTTAAATGCACTTAATTATTATAGTAAAAAACACTAAATATTCATAATTGCTTCATAACATTAATGATTACACATCATAAATCAATATATAATGCCAAGTATCATCATTTTGTACATTTGCTGGACACTTACTTACTCACTTACTGATGTTGTACAATGAAACTAAATGAACCCTTTATTGTAATGAGATATCTAAAGTCCACTCAGTAAAACCTCTAATATGATATATGATATATGATATGATATAATATGTCTATAAAATGTCCACAAAATGAAACAAGAATTTTAAACCTGTCTTTATCCTATTGACATAAATGCATGCAAATTAGCAGATATTTAATGAGATGATACCCTATTTGAATATTTAAACGTATCATTTCAGAAAAAGTGTTATACAAAATAGAATTGTATAAATGTGTGTAATCGACAAGGGAAGTTTCATCGTTTTATCTATTATGACAATTGATTACCCATATCACCTGTAGTGTTTCCCATTATAAATCAAATCATGTCTCTGTCTTGCTGCAGAGGACCGACCAGAGGAAGGAGAACTGGGCTCGGTACCGCAGTGGCCAGGCCGTCAGAGAGATCACCAACCCACAACCCACTGAGTCCTGGACCTCCTACAGAGCAGGACACACAATCCCAGCACCGGAGGAACCCTGTCTGCAGGCTGGCAGAGCAACACAGTGGCACCAACACAACCTACTGACAGGTGCTGTGCGCAGCTTCATACAGGAAATACACGTTCACAGAGCCGGTTTGAAAGAAATGTAATAACAGGAATATTAGTTTTTCATCTCAAAATGTAGAGCTTCTGATTCACTTCAATAGGTCTTTATGAAACCAGGATAACAAATATTAATTCCATAATTGATTCTACATGTATTTGCCAATGTCCATTTGCAGTACCTGTGCAGGTTCACGCATAACAATCAGAAGACATACAAAATATTGTAAAGTCTTTATCACACCAACAACTATAAAGCCAGATCTATATGGAAATACCAGCAAATATATTTTCAGTGCAAATATAACATTACAGTTCATTTTCAAGTAAATCATTTTTGTGTCATGTTTAAATGTCCAATATCATGGTCAGTTCAATAGTGATATACAAACTCCCTCAGTGGAGAAAGACAGATATGAATTCTGATTATTCTCATAATTATTCTTTGTACAGTATATGACAAAATGTACAATTTGACCCCAGAGCATCTATTAAAAAAAACGTCAAAATAATTACTTTGTAAATATTTTCCACTTTTATATACATTTTTCAATGGTGGACTATTTAAAGCATTGCAGTTATTTTGGATGTGATGACATTTTAAGTGTTGCTAGTAGTAGTGTGTGATAACAGTTTGGGTATTCACTGCTCTCCAGTGGTCACAGGGAGTACCTGCAACGCTTCATTTGAATTTATAGGTTGTCTCAGATATATACAAAACATTTCTCTGAAGTTTTTGATTCGAAATACCAAATGAATCATGCATTGTAGCATCCCATAAAACTATTTTGTTTTAAATGCTAATGAGCTGCTGCTGGCCATTCCCCTCTGAGAAGTGATTGGTTAAAAACACAATGGTGCTCTAGAAGGAGATGCAGTTGAAAAGGTGGGCGGGAGTTACCTTGGTTGGTTATTGGCTAATGATTGCACAACCCAATATAAAACATTGTGAAATCTCAAAGTTGCCAAAATCTGATCCGCTCATTTTCCGACTTTTCTATAAACGGATCAGACCAAATGAGAGAGAATCTTTTTTCTGAAACTTTCCGAATCTCTTATTATTCATTTATAATTACATTACATTACATGTTACTTGTTAGACGCTTTTATCCAAAGCGACTTACATACTCAATACTGTGGGCAATCCCCACAGGAGCAATTTGGGGTGAAGTGTCTTGCCCAGGGACACAACGACATGCTGACTGCAGTGGGGTTTGAACCTGTGCCCCCCTGATCCCAACACCAACACACTATCCACTGCGCACTACCCACTGCGCCACACGCCTCCCCTAATTAATAAGTAAATTAATAATTGTTAACAATATGTACAACATAATGTATTTGTTGCATGTTTAGAAACAACACACTTACAAATGTAATTCATTGACAGTTATATTGATTCTCAAATGTCACATTTAGATAACATAATGTAATGAAGCCTTTAATCGCTTTAAATGTTTGGTTTTGTCAGTCCAAAATCCCAGAGATATTCCCTCTGATATGAGACAGAGAAGAACAATTACCTCGAATGATTAATCGATTATCAACCAGTTAAAGTTTGTGATTCCGTGAATATCTATAAAGTTGTATGAACCTGTGTGCAGGTGAGCCGAGGCAGCAGGGCCAGGGGAGCCCTTCAGGAGGCGCAGAGATGAACTACTGTGGGTGGCGAGGCCCCGGGAGACAGACTGCACTGCCCTCAGACTCTACTGACACACTTACAACAAAATATATGAATATTGTTAAATATATAATCCTGACACTTTGACTCTTATTATGAACATTTTAATTGAGGTTTAAAGGTGGGGTAGGTAAGTTTGAGAAACCGGCTCGAGATACACTTTTTGTTATATTCCATGGAATGCTCTTAACATCCAGATAGCAATGAATATCTTAAGTGCTTTGACAAAAAATCCATAAAAAAACGTCATCTGTGGAAGCTGTAATACTGTAAAAAGTACGACCAATCATCTTAGCCGGCCCGGCTAAAATAACTGGATGGCCGACCTGCCTGTCAGCCTTCCATCTGTGCACAAACTTATCTCGTGCCCTCATTGGTCATGTGCGCTTTCGTGTGTTGGAGGGGCTCTATAAGGAAGTGGCAGATTTTCTCCGGTTGTGTAATTTCAAATTCTAGCGATCTCGAGCCGGTTTCTCAAACTTACCTACCCTACCTTTAAGTGGCTCATATCATATTCTCTAGAAAATTATAGACGGATTCATCGATAATGACAAATATGAATCGCAGCTTTCTTCACTGAAAGACCCTTTTGCAGTACAATTCACACTGAAGTACTTAGTGACAGTACATCAATATTGTAAATGCGCCTCCACAACTGCTTACAAGTAAAAGTCCTTCTCTTCTGCAATACAACTTAGTGCATACCCTTCATAATGTCATCTACGGGGTGTGTTTCAGCAGATTACAGTAAATAATTACTCTGGCATGTTGTGCTGAGGGAACAGCCCTGAAAGTAAACACATGATATGAATGCATCTGCAATTAACATCAGATATTTAAGAGTTAGAAAAAAGAATCACTAGGGACCAGAACCAAAGTAAGTAACCTTATGATACTATCCACTTCAACGTATCATCTCTTGAATTGGTGCGTTTTGTCATTCAAAATCTCATTAAAATAGTGAAAATTCCCCAGCCAGTGGTCATAGGGACATTGCGTCAATTATATAATCTAAAATTACACAGATCCTCATCTTCGACCCAGATTGCCTCTCCTCACACTTTCCATTACTTTTGTTCTTCCCAATCCTTAACAATCATGCAAAGACAATGAAAAGGTCGCACAGAAAGGCATTACGATATAGTTTCTCACATTTACAGCTTGTTCAAGAAGACCTTTGACAGAGAGATATTGAATCTACATTTGCGAGTTACGTTTTTTTCAGTCCCCTTTTCTACAGTTCTAAAGTTATCAACCACGCCAATATTTGCACACACTTGCCAACATGTGGGATTGGTGAAAATAAGCTATAAACACAACATAATTTTTCAATTAAACTACCTCAGGCCCCTTTAGAACACTTTAAAAAAAGAATATAAATAAATACAAAATGCCATTATAAATTAATTTAAATCAAACTTTATTCATTTTTGTAAAGAAGTCCAATAAAGACAAATAATGAAATGAGTTGAGACAGTAATCAAACCACAAAGGATGACATTGAGGGAAGAGAGGAACACATAAATAACAAAGAAAAGGACATACAGGGACAGAGTAAGGGATAGGCCTATTTACACAGAGACCCCCACATGAGTTACACACTGTGGGGTTTTTAAAGAAGAGCTAATAGACCACAGGGCCCAGCTAGCAGCGGTACAGCAGTAGGCTTTATCTAGAAACTCCTGAAGAGCTCAGCTTTATATCCAGTTCTGTTTTCAGCATTAGTTTTAAATATAACAAAAGCAGAAAAAAACAAAAAAAGGTAAAATGTACATGACCTGTCCTTGTGTGACAAAAAGTGTCCTGAATAAGAAAAAAAGAAAAATATACTGTGAGGAATCTATGGGGGGTTAAAAATGATGCAGTAATGCTACAAAACTGCTCAGTAGTCACGTTGTCTAAGTAGAAGGAATGGCTTAAAAGCATTACTGACATCTTAAAATGAAACACATGTCACCTAAGAGTGTGTACTTGTGTGTGTTGAGCATTTCAGTGCTGTGTGTGAACGTGTGACAACAGATACCTTCATGTGGTGGTGGCTGCATGCATGGCAGATAACTTAAAAAAAAAAAAAAAAAGTCAAAAAAAGGTGTACGAGAAATGAAACTTATCCGATGTGTGAAAATAAAAAATAAGTGTCAGACCGAGGAAGCCGGGGCCATTTTTTGCTATCCTCTCTCTTTCTTCAATCAACTTCCTTCCCCATTCCATTTTGTGTCATCTTCCAGACATTCCTATCCACATCTCCCCGTCTACTCGTTCGACTACTCGTTCTTCTTCTCCTTCTGTTTGAGCAGTTTGTTGATCTCCCTCTTGGCCATGGACGCGTACTTGGTGATGACGCCGTGCTGGTTCATGCCGGGCAGCAGCAGCAGGAAGCTCACTGCAGAAGAACAAACAACATGGAGTGTGTCAGCAGCTTAGAAAAGCCACAAGTTAAGCCTTTTATCATGTGTTCAACCTCGTGAAATAAAAAGCAGAGTGCTCAGGATTACACTAAATAGGTTTTATTGGATTGCTAGGATTAGTAGATATATGGTCAACAACATGTAAATATTTTACATCAGCATTAATCCAGAAAACAACAGTGTTCTAAAAGACAAATCATTTTTAAACATAAAACTATAAAGTAAAATGCATAACACAGATCATATATAGTGGAAACTATATTCACAACTCTAATATTGAGTTCGTATTAAAAGCTTCAGAAAAGATTCAATAGCCTGATATATTTTCCAACACGTCACAGTATCTTTATTTAAAACACATTGTTCACAGAAATTTGAAAAACACTAAAGATTGTTACGATAGAGAATTTACGAAGTACTTTTGAAATAGTCAGATTAATGGTTTAAAATTTACTTGAAATAAATGCCAAATACTTTATTCCAAAATCTAATTTTAACACTAAAATCCCAGTTTGGACAGCTTTGGGCAAGTTGGAGTCTTTTTAAATGTGACTTGGGAAAAAAAAAATTCCGTGACCTGAAACTGTTAACCTATTAAGCCCCGAGCCTGTTTTTCAGGTTTCAGGCTCGAAAATGACATTCCCAGAACAAATGACTATATCTTCACTTCTAAAAAGGGGTAAATTAATAATCTTTTTTCTCAAAGCAATGATACACCTGTGAGTTGGATGTAGACAAGTCAGAATCAATATAGATGTTTTTATTTTTAAAGTAAATTCAGATTGAAAATAGTAAAGAAAATGTAAATAATAGTTTCCGTCCAAAAAAAACCATGACTTGTAGTGAAAACCACCCTTGAATGATGGGATAGTAGACTAAAAGCTTTAGGAATCCAAACTATAACATATAATAAGTAACCTGTATCAACAGGGTTCCTGCAGGTTTCGCCAACTCAAATGTAAGACTTTTTAAGACCACTTTGAATAGAATTTAAGACCTATTTCACGGCAAGAAAGTATGAAGGAAAATTGCTATGAAAGAAGAAATACGTCCCATAATTACTTAAAGTAAATTCATTCATGTTCAACATAAGAACAATGACTGAACATAACAGCATAACAGTACAGAACTGTGTTAGCCAAAAAGTGTGTGTGTGTGTCTGTGTGTGCGGGCTGTGCAATTAATAGTATTTTAATCGCAATTACGATTTTGGCCTGCCACAATTACGAAAACAACATAATCGAAAAAAACGATTATTTAGCTTTGCTAGGTTGTGACAGTGCACTGCAACATATTTGATCTAATTAATTTTAGTCTAATTTATTTATCATATTTATATATGTTTAGTAGCTTGTGGAAGTGCGCTCAAATATTTGTTGATCTTGTTTATTGGTATTTATTATTTTGATATTATTTATTTAATTTATTTTGTATTGGTTTTTCAGTTGAATTATACGTTCAGGGTAATCAACAGTTAAAAAGATACTGTTCAAATTATTATGTTTTAAAGTTCAATAAATGGATGTTTTCAAAGTCAATGAATAATCGTATTTAATAATCGTGATATCAATTGACCGAAATAATGATTTCTAACGTGATTTTTGCCATAATCGAGCAGCCCTAGTGTGTGTGTGTGTGTGTGTGTGTGTGTCAAGAGCTATATTCAGAGCTCTGCTGCCTTGGCTACAATCTTTCATCGTTGCTGTTGTATGATGGTGTTTAACTACGGTATTTAGCGTCTACAGCACCTCCGCTTTAAGGGTTGACGTCGCCCGGTGTTGTTGCAGGAGTTGCTGCACTAGCTAACGCTACATTAGCAAAACAAAAGCTAATTTCTTTTGCAAAAGGTGCAGCGGGCTTCAAACACGTTCCCCTCCACTGGTTTCAACCAAGCACTAAATTCGATGTTTTCCAACCAAATACGGTTGAACTTACACTTCCCCATATTTATTTGCAAGTAGATTCGAAGATACACGAGTTTCTGACTGCCGCTAGCTGAAGCTTGGTTGCTAGGTTACTAGCTGGGTGTTCTCCGATAAGGGGCCGGGGGAAACAAAGTTAGTGATTACTGGTTCCATGTTGATTTATTTCAATACAAATTGTTGGGGGGAACTGAAAGGTTATTACCGTACTGGTTACTTTGCAGCCTGGACATTTCTCCCAAAACACAGTTCTAAATCATATTTAAGACCTTTCTTACTTTTTTTTAGTCATATTTAAGACCTTTTTAAGGCCTTAATTCAGATTATCAAATTGAAGACTTTTTAAGACCCCGCGGGAACCCTTAACAAGATTGATGCAAAACAAGTGAAATTTGACCTTTTTAGAGAGGTTTAGAAAAAGAAAACCCACCTCTGGGGTCATTTGCCATATCTCTGGAACCCATTGGTCGATTTGGGTGATTGACACCTCTTTTGAACCGTTAGAGCCAATAGAATCGAGGGGAAGTTCCTAAATCCACCTACACATTAACATTGAGGAGTGAGAGTGATGCGCACGCAGTTTGCCCAAACCGAAAGCTATGTTACGCTCTGAAAACTAGGCTTATTGACATAAATGTTATGATGGATTATCAGTAATCATTTCAAAAGGGACACAGAGACATTCAGCAGCGTTTATATGCGTTTTAATGCCATTGAACACAACTTCTGATCAAAAAACAGCAAAGGTAAGACGCATTTGCCGTTTTGGCTCCGTAAAGTGAAGTTGTGTTGGCTTTGTTGGCTTTCGCTGCCGCGAGTTTTGGTCGCACAGTGATGATACTTATACCATTGGAATCTGTGGAATCTCAGCTTTCATATGATATCTAGTTTGTGCAGATCCGATTAAGTATCAAATATTTCTACCGTGAGTTATGTGCTAAGTGCGTTAGCACTCTTTTGCTTAGTGCTAATTCAGAGGCTCGGCGTTAGACTAGAGGTAAAAATGGTTCATATCGTCAGTTAGCTGAGTTTCTTCCCGTTAAGTGGGTATGACACATTCATAGTTTGTTAAATGTTAAGAAGCCCTCAGACCAGCGTTTCTGCCAGGGGGGCGTCTTGCCGTCATTTGACGCCCTTATTCAGCTCGGAACGCCCTGAACTTGAGCCGAGGGCGTCTAAAAAAAATTATAATTCGAGAGAAGATCGAGAGTTTTTATCGCTTCAAATGACGAAATGGAAAAAGGACAAGGACATCCCTCTCTGTTGGAGGGGCAAAGGAGTCTGGTGGGATTCTTTTCGGAGTATTGAAGATCGTTTCCCCGACATCGGCGGTGCCTGCCACAGGACAACACGGAACGTGCGCGATTTGTACGTGATGAGCGGGGGGGGTGCTAGTGGAGCACGCACCGGAGCCTCGCAGCAGCGAAACCGAGGCTACGTGGTAACATGAAGAGCCGTTTGGGAGCCGAAACAGCTGGCGCTTTAAGAGAGCCGAGCCAAATGATCTGGCTCACCAACGTAAAGAGATAGTATCTATAAGGGACGGCTCAATTCAAAATTGAATAGTAGCTGCAGATGTTGCTAGGAATCTTTGGAACCATAAATGGCTCCTGTCAAAAGAATGTTTATTAGTTCTTGTTTTCGACTCAACACATGAAACGCTTCATGTTCAAAACATTGCTGCTATGCAACGATAAAATGTCACATCATTAACTTTACTCTATTATTACTTATGAAAAGGACGTTTCTTTTACATTTCAATGGCACTCTGAGGAACAACTTAGCAGAGCAGTCATTGACTACAGGATGGATGGTGAAGAGAAAAGATTTTTGATTCCAGAAGGTTTTGAAAAGATTGTGCGATTAAGACCTAGAAATATGAAAGTAGCCTGTGAAAGTGAGCCTCGAGATCTGATCATCTGAGATTAAAATAAAGAATTCTTTGTCGTTTCAGAGTCATGTGCTCTCTGAAGTCATTTCTACTTCATTGGTTTACCCATTAGCAGTGAAGGAAAGAAACCCAGTATGTTTACTCACGTACTGTAGTTCAGTACAATTTTGAGGTAGTTGTTCTTTACTTGAGTAATTATAGTTGATGCTACTTCTCTACATGTTTGACTACATTTCATTAAATTGCTTTTAACATAACAAAAACATATTTTCTTTATGATATCATTCAGTTGTATAACAATGAGTACCTAAAAAGGCTCCATATTACCAAACTACAACAACACTATATGGGTTCATCAGTAAGGAAACAAAAGTATAATATTTTAAGACACTACACAAGACACATTTGCATGCAAATACTTTCATTTTTTTTTTTTTTTTAAATATAAAAACCTTTTGCTGACAATACTTTTGTATTTTAAGACTATGGTATTTCTACTTAAGTAATCTGATTACTTCTTCCTCCACAGATGAATTCTTGGCATGTCTCAGTTTATGTAACAGCTGGCAGACCTGCTGATTCACTAACTGTCACTTTGCCCAAGGCGTTTGTGTGGAAAGACAGGTAGGGCGTTACAGTAATGCTGCATTCAGTCACAGTACGGGAACAGACACGTCAACGATAACTACCCGTTTGTGATCTGTGGTGCACCACAGCAGCCACATTTGTTCCGTGTAGTTAGTGGTTTTTAATCAATTTCCGTGTGTTTTTTTTTTTTTAACTGCACTTGAAAACTGTGTGAAAGGTGCTATATAAATAACTTTATAATATTATAACCCCCATTCCCAAAGAAAACTATACTGCATGAACACCTCAAGCTGCTCAAATGTCAAAGACTTAATAAATCCGCTTTTAAATATTCTTTGTGAAGAAATCTTAACGTCATTCCATTTAACTGGTTTATAATAATCCAGGAAATTATATGACAAACACAGGAGGATTAAAAAAAACGTTGCTCAAGCAGGATAAATACTGCATGTACTCACCGATCAGGTAGGTGAGGAACAGGTTGTGCACCTGCTGTCCGATCCAGGCCACTGCCAGCAGACTGCTGATCACTGAGGCAAAGTACTGTGGAGAGCAGAGGTCACATTACACTCGGACACACAAACTGCTTCCTGTATGCACACAGAGCATCAGTTATTGAGGATCATCTGTCAGAGATACTGCAACATAACCATTTTTATCAGCAGAACATTGGGTGTTATTATGAACAAACAAAGCCGCCTTTGAATTAAAAAATGTGATGTGAACAGTGTGTCTGACCGTGTTAAATTATGCTGTGAAACAGTTATTATCATAGCCTGTAACCCAGTTAGAGGCCTGCTAAGTGGAGCAGCAAAGCCAAATCAGCAGAGGATATTTTTATCTGGAGCACAGAGGAATCTTATCATTGTGACAAACCCATAAGAAAGGCTTAAGAGTAGCTATCAGGATGAAGTGTACAGTATGCAACGGCAAGTATTTGACTGGCTTCTTCCTTATGGTGTGGTTTTAACTTTTATACGTTGCAATTTACCATTTTGGGCTTTTCTTCCTTGAGGGCACACAGGCGCTTCCACCAGCCCACGGTGCGGTGCTGAGTCTTCACCAGGTTACCGCAGATTTCGTGGAAACGCTGCTGCTGCTCCGTGGTCCTGGGAACAAGGAAGGGTTTTAAAACAAAACTAAATGTGTACAAGGGCTACACAAGTACGGCCAAGTTTATAATCACGATTATTTTTATCAATATTGATAAAAATAAATCATACATATTCATCACAACTACTTGATTTTAGCCTCACAATTTTAAATTGGACTTCGGAATTCAAATAAACTGCTTCCATATTGTGCTACATTACTGCTAATGTAGCAATTAGGGCTGAACAATACTGAAAAAGAAAAAAAAGGTTTTACATTATTTCTTTTCCTGATAATATCGGTTGCAAATTGCAATATTTTATTTTTTTTATTTTTTTTAAAGGGAAAAAAACAAAAAACAGCATAGGTTTTGAAGGATACATTTTAAAGTAAAATAAATCTGGTACATTTTAGAGAAAAAAAGAGAGGCCAGGTAATATATTTGTGCTCTTGCCTTCCTGGAGTTTTTTTGTTCAGTTTTAAATCAGACAAATGTTCACCAACAACATCTGATCATGTGCTCAAGAGGAAGTGAAAAAGTTCAGTGTGGTTTGTCACATCGAAATAGCTTCCCTCACTTGTTAAAAGCTCTTTGATAGAGATAACAGAGCTGATGTTCATGATTACTAAATAAATCCTGGTTTTAAATTAGGTTGTTCACCCTTTTTTGGTCTGTCACTTTGGTAAACAAAATAAAATAGGCTTTTGAAAAGGTCAAAGTGAAAAACTGGGAATTTTTGACCATTTCATTAGTTAAAAGATCAGATTGAGCCACTATACAGGGCCAGAAAACACCCTGTGCCTGTATGTTACAGTGTTGCCAGACTTAAGGGATTAAACAAGGGTAAGAGTAGGGCATGTCTTGAGGGGGGCCGTTGACAAAAGTGGCCTTCATTTTCTGCTTAGCCATCGTCGCCTATTTCCGTCCTTGTTGTTAGGGAGCCAAACAGGGGCCGTGATCAGACTTTGGTAGCCCCGTTTAACTGACACTCACGCTATCTGGTTGACAATGCTGCAGGCTCAGCAGCAGCTTGAGCTACACAGCACATTTTTTAAAGAATCTTGACTATACAGATCAATAGGACTATATCTAACAAAACACAGCTCCCTCTTAAACCTAGGCACGAGTTTGGAAACCCATCCCCTGTGTTAGTTTCCTCCATAACTAAACCAAGATGAAAGGCTGGGTTTATCCTACTGAGAAACTACAGAATGCATGCAGTGAAGCATGTATAACAACCACAAAACTCTTCACTTAACCATGCATCTTTAAAACACTCTATCTGACCCTACATGTCTGCTGCCTCAGCCTGTGGAATGTGCTGCAGTGCAGAAGGGTCCAGGTCATGCCCTTATGGTGCTGGGTAATATATTGAGGTGTCTGGTGGAGTGCAGTCGTCCAACACACATTGTGCCAACTGCAGGCTGTCACTCTACCCTGACCCGGGTGTTTGGTTTTCACCATCAAATACACGCACAGCTGAATGAAGAGGCTGTTTGGTATGCACTGTGTAAAGGCAAAGCTTCATCAAATGCTTGGACAGGTTTAAGTGACAACTCAGACTTTCATATCGGGTATTGCAAGAAGAGAGATTTTCCTCTCACTCAAGCAGAATTTAGTGGTCATTATGTCCCTGAGATTTATTAAAGCAGATCATTTTAGAGAATAGCTGCCTGTTCTTAAGTTGCTTTCAAATCACAAAAATGGACAATGACATCAAAATCCATAACAAAGGGAAAAATGAGACTGAAAGCCAAAGAAAAATGTATATTTACAAGTAGGAAAATCACATGCTTTTATGGTCTATTGTAGAGCCAATTTTATCCTCATGCCCTCACCACTTATTGGAGCCGAAGACTCTGGGTGCCAGGGTGGGCACCAGGTAGTCTGCTAGGCAGAGCAGCATGACAGCACAGGAGAGACCAGTCAGCACTGATGGGTCCAGGTAGTAAATCATCCTGAAGAAAGACAAAAGCAGTACGTTGTAGTTTTTTTTTTTAACAAACTCATCTTCTATTTGAATCACTATGGCCCCTAAGGTTTGTACAGGAATTCCTGCACATGCATGTTGAAGCTATAATGGTAAAGACATCTGAAAATTGAATGCAAAGGCTTTGTATTGATGCTGACTGATTTAGAGATTGAGGAGGGCGTGTGCATTTGTAAATAATGTATTGTGTTAACAAAACAGTCGTTTAGTTTTCTAGTCTGTAATCTTCAATTTACCCAAGAATTGTTCTGACAATCAAAACATAAAATTAAGCTTATTTAACAAAAAAGATTTTATATTAAAAACATCTATATTCTACGCCGTTTTATTCTTCTGTCTTTGAACCAGTTTGTTTTAGTACACTGGTCCATCTCGGAATTAGATTACAAAACATAGCATCTCAGTCAGGGTAGGTACTTTTTAGAGACACATCTCCCTGCTGAGCGAGAGAAAATGTATGCAATGCCAACAATGTTTCCAGCTGTGTGTAACTGACACAGCAGCACACAGTGAAGTGGACTCACAGGAAGAGCATGGTGGTGCCACCCATCAGGGCTCCAGGGAACCACGGTTTCTCCCAGCGCACAACACGATCCCCAGCCAGGATAACCTCGCCCCAGCCCTGCAGCTGCTCCTCCAGCTGGGCCGTTTCCTGAGCCTGGACACAACATGATATACATTAGAAAATTAACCAACACATTATGAATTTTCTTGAAACTTGTTAACAAGATGGCACGATTTCAGAGAAAACAGGTATATATCTGCAGAAGTCAAGGGCAGCAGTTTCTCCTAGGCTATGCAACATAAGCCTGGATGTAAAATGATTCCTCTGCAACAGCCACTCTAATGGTACTTGATACGTGCATTCACTTTGAAGCCCCTTAACAAATGTGGGAATGTATGATGAGATGGATGATTGATTTGATTTATGATCATCATGTAGAGAAACACAAATCCAGATGATAACCTGTAAAGGTAAAAACACATATTCCAAACATGGTCCCAAGAAGATAGATGACAAAGAACATACAGAGACATAAACCATAAAATAACTAATGACATCACAGTTTGATATATAAATGTCAGTAATAACCTTACTAATGTTGCGTACGGTGCAATTCAATGCAGTACTACTACTTTGTTGGCTATATGTATTCAGAATTTAAAGAATCATTTATCATAGTCCCAGGTTGAGGGTGTGGGTGCCTTTGGTGATAAGAAAGGCAGTGATAACGGTATTGCTATTGATATGACTGTGCAGTATATACATCATTAAAAAAAATGGGAACATTTGTAGAACTAACCACACATGTCATCAAGTTAAATCGAGTGTAAATCTCATAACTCAATTTCAGGCCTCTAAAGAACCGTTAGCGAACAGTAACAAGGTTACAAATGGGAAAATGGGTCTGAACTAGCTAACGGTTAGCTAACTAGCTAGCTATCCAGCTAGCTGGCGTTAGCTGCTGTCACCGTCACAGCCACCTTCTGGAGGAACTTTGACGGATGGTTGGACGGGGTATGCCACTAAATTGCTAGCAGGCAGTTATTGCAAAAACACAGTACAAAATGTAAGTGACTAAATAATTAACACATTTAAAAAAGGGCCATCCTCGGCTGCATGGACGCCACAAGATTAGCGCTTAATGCTAACGTTACAAACACCCTCAGCAGACAAAACCCTTTAAAAGACAAACAAATACGTCATACTCACTAGCATATTAGCGCTTTTGTTGTCACCGTCAGCCATCGTTACTTGTTAACCACCGTCTGTTAAGATTCTATTGTGAATTTGGTAATATTTTTTACAGGCAAACGACCCGCAGAGCAGCAGCAGCACACGCCTCCTTCAGTTGCTTTGGCGTCACTAACGGTCGAGTTCTGGCAGGATGTATTTATGTCCACATTTTGCGTCAAAATTAGCGAATGGCATTCTGGGAAATGAGGTTTTGTGTTCGTTGTCTGAATCAGGTTTAAGTATTTGCACCTATGATTTGCACACATAAAATAAATCTAACGGCTTATTATAACCAATTGTATTCAATATGTGCACATATGATGATACAACATTATACATTAGTCTTACATTCTTACATTATCACATATATGCATTTTTTGAATTATTAAATAGCATAACATAATTGTATTGTTATGTGTTGTATTCTATTTGTATGTTTCTTGTCAAAACTGCACCAATACACCAAAGTTCAAGCAAATACCTTGTATGTAAAAAAAAATAATTCTGTTTATAAGTATCTCCCATTACAAACCAGCAATCATATAATGATTATACATGAATACTAATACTGAATACATTAGATATGTTTCATAGATAAAAAGTGAAAATAGTAATTTTTTCAACGGGTTCACTGATAAATCGCCCTAAACTATTTCATCAATCTCAAATTGAACATTCCTGAACATGAAAGAAATCAGTTCTCTCCTTTGCCAGTGGGAGGCAGTCTATATCAACATAAGGTGAAACTTGAGAAACACTGGCTGCAAATGCTTGAACATGTTTTTGATAAGAACAAAAAAAATAAGTATATTTTATTAAACAATCCCGTATTTATCAGGAAGATTAATCATCTATCAACTTTGTTAAGTGCAAATACATTACTGTGTAATTTAAATGATCGTGTTTTCAATATGATTCTTTTTTTAAATCAAATGTTCTCTTAAATATATAATTGGATACAATACAATTATGATTGTGAATAGGATTTTATCAGGGAAAAAATGTATTCCTCAACAGAAGTTAGTCTAAGAATCTGCTGCTTTTTTAATTTTGTGTAAGAGAAAGAGATTTAAGATTTAAAAAAAAAGTCAAACTAATTGTTATTTTCTAATGTATGTCCTATTCATCTACTTTTAAAATGCTCTTATCGATTGTATCAACATTAGAATGGTTATATTTCCAATATATATTGAACATTATATAAGTCTCTTTATTGCATTATTTTATTTTTATTTCAGTATGCTGATGATGTAACATCAATTCATGTATCCTTTCAGTGCAATAACAATTTGGTCTATTTGCAAATGCTTTCATAACAAATTTTAAATAATTATTTTACTGTTAAAGATATAAATTGTTACTGTGAAAATATACGTTTTTAAAAAAGGGACAAAAAAAGCAAAATATTTGTCATAACCCCGCACCCTCTTTCGTTTGTAGTCCAATTTCCCCCCGGCACCTGAACGCATCGCAGTTTAAACGTGCGTATGACGTCTTTGGTATTCATCTCGTTCCTCCTCTGCCTGGAAATCAGACCAGCTAGCCGATAGCTAGCTAACTAGCTAACGTATTTCATTTCCCCACAGATTTCAAGACTTAGTTAATATAAGGTGTGTTTGATTGTCTGATTCAACGGGATATTATTCATCGCGAAATTACTTCCCGACTCCGTTTTTCTCTCAGCTCCCGGAGAAAACACTGGTACGTAGCAAAAACGCTAGCTTGCTAGCTTAGACCAGATCTGTTAGCTACGCATAAAGTGCGGATGGGCCTTTACAAAGGTGTAGCATTAAAATTCACCTCGTTGTTTATCGAACTACAAAATCAAAGCAGTGTGTTTGGGCTATATTTACCTCACCATATGTTTTCTAATGTAGAATCAAAAGCTATGGCTTAGCCTTAGTCATCATACATTGTCTGTCTTGCATTCAGACGCAGCAACAGGCCTATTCTGGCGCACGTGTTTTTGCGCCACAAAATAATTTGTTATCGTGAATACATTCTCTAGATATAACTATAAATGTGTATTTAGACTTCACTAGATCACAGATTCATGTTATGTATCCTAAACCTTTTAACAGCTATGACACTGCGAGAAACCTTTGCCACACTAGCAAAATAGTGCCTGCATAATACTTTGTGTTTAAATTATTTCGGTTATACTGTGTTATTGTTATTTTGTCAGCCACTTTCATATAGGACTGCAGGACTGTATAACAGGCATCGCAGTGATCTTGAATCACTACTAGCTATATTATGTCAGCCATTTTAGAATACTCCATTCCTTAGTATGTTATTTATAATGATTAAAAGGGCAACATTACCTAAAATGTAGTGATTCATCATGTAGCTTTAATGCCATTGATATTGGGTTTAAGTCTTGATGATCTGTTTTTTTTCTTTTGTTTTTGGTATATGCATATATAAATATTTTTGTTTGTATTTATGACTTTCATCTAACACAAGACAGAGAACAAAAGGACTATTACTTACAGGAAACAAACTCCTACTATTGCTGTTTTTGCAATATTTAATTAGCTTTTAAAATTTGTTTTTAATACGAGGGATGTCCTCTAAATCCTGCTGTCTTTCTAGTTTTTTTTCTCTTAGTGTCATTTTTTGTATGTATTATACTTTGCTTACTGTTTACAAAGTATTTACACCTCTGTGTACATATTTTTATTTCCTCTGGTTATACCCTTTTACCCCACTCAGTTTACTTTTCCTTTAGTCATTTGCAATACTGGCTACTGGCACAATTATAATACTTTTTAAAATATGCTTACTGTTTTACACCTGTGCACATGTATATTACTTCTCATTATACACATTTATCTTCCTGTAAACATTATTAATTTTAGTCTTGGATTCTCCTTTTGCTTTTACTTAAATGTTTTTTTAATAACATTTAATGAGCATTGTTGTAGGAATCTTAAGTTTTCATTGCTAACGACATCTTCTCTGTGATAGTTGTTGATGAGATAACAAAGATCTTGAAATGTTATAATTTTCCCCCACAGAGCCATGTACAATGGGATTGGCCTGACAACTCCGCGGGGCAGCGGCACCAATGGCTATGTGCAGCGCAACCTGTCCAGCCTGCGGGCCAAGCGGCCGCGGGATGAGCGCGGCGGCGAGCGGGACGAGAAGGACCGCGAGAGGCTGGAGAGTCAGCTCAACAGGCAGCCCAATGCAGACATCCTGGAGCACCAGAGGAAGAGGCAGCTGGAGGTCAAGTGTGCCGAGCTGCAGGACATGATGGAGGAGCAAGGGTGAGGCAAAATGCTGCGTTCAGGGCTTAGATAGTCACACTTTGGGGCTGGCAGTAACTCAGTCTGTAGAGACTTGGAAACCAGCAGATATTAGCTGGCTACAGTGAAATAAACTAATTAGAATTGGGAGGGAAGAAACCCTCTTTAATGGTCACACATGCAGAGCACACAGCACACACAGTGACATTTTTTCTCTGCATTTAACCCATCCTAGTACCAGGAGTTTAGTACTAGGAGCAATAATAGTTGCAAGATCTTTGCCTTTTTTCTGTGCTGTGAATAATGATATAATACTCCTCTTTGTTGATGTCCAGGTATTCAGCTGAGGAAATCGAGGAGAAGGTGAATACTTTCCGGATGATGCTCCAGGAGAAGGAGGAGCCGGCTCCCGCCACCACTGACAGACCATCGTAAGTCAATTCATGTGGCTGGAATAAATAAATAAAAATATAAAATGCAAGCTTAACCATTTTGTCATAAATAATTTTGGTTGCACACTTTTAGTTGTCTTCGGTGCAACACATACTATATTATGTAAATATTTATATTTATATGCTGAAGCATACTGTTACAAATTAAATAATGACAAATAGGACCATTCTTATGCATTAAACCCATTTCAATGTACTTTCATAACCTGTTTTTAAATAAGAGTGTGATACATTTAGTAAGCATGTTATTTTCAACAGTCAACAGAAATAATATCAAATGTACCCTTACAGAGCATCTCATTCTGACTTGTATGCATTGTGGTTTTTGAAGTATGTGTTTTTCATGGACTTTGAGTCTGACAGTTAAGTTGAGGATGATCTCACAGTTTCCGTTTGTTTTGTTTCCTCTCAGGGCGACAGAGACTCATGCTCTGGCTGCTGCAAACCAGCAGAAGAATGACCGTCTTCGCGCCGCCTTTGGAATCTCCAGCGACTACGTGGACGGATCCTCCTTCCATGCCGACCGCAAGGAGAAGGAGAAGGAGAAGAGAGAGCAAGAACGCCTGGAGAGGGAGAAGCTGCAGCAGCAGAAGTACACGTGCGTAGGAGAAAACTCAAATAGTGCTGGTGTGCAACAAAAAAAAGGCTATTTTTCCTTTTTGAAACGACAAACTCACAATGTGGCTATTTTGGACAAAATGGTTTGTGCTGGGTAGCTGTTCAAAGTGTATTTTGCGACACTGTTATAACTGGTGCTTTTCAACGCCACAGTAATTACGGTAACTTTATCGTGTACAGTGTTTCCCCTAGGATGGAGTCATAGCAGCGGTGCTGAGGCACGTGGGTCAAGCATAATATGAGCGCGGAGCGTGTAGAATTTTTCAGTGTGTGCACGTGCGAAGTGCGCCCCGCCAATTAGTTTCTATGTGTCTGCCAGCACAAGAAAGGCTCTTGAGGCCTAGTACCAGGGCCGGTTCTAGCCAATTTGCTGCCCTAGCCGAGATTTTATATATAAAGAATAAATGAAAAATCTCTACAAAAGACAAATACACTACAAAAATAGAAACTTATTGACATAGGTAATATACGTCAAAATGGCTTCAAATGTATTCAGTATTGTATGAACATGTTTGAATTGGGGGGTGGACGTCACATCCTCTAGGGGGGTCCGGGGGTATGCCCCCCCGGGAAGATGTTTTTATACATAAAGTAAAATGCTTCTATCTGGTGCACTTTGAGCACACAATTACTAGAGACCTGATCTAGGGGGTACAACTCTAAACACCCATATGAAAAAGATCGGTTTACATTTTAATAATCAAATAAGTATATGAACATAACCAATAACCTACCATAGCCAATAACAAATAAATGTAACTATTTTATTTTTGTTGTTCATTCATATCTTATTTTACCATAACA